ATAAAGGCTGCTCTTTTTTTTTTAACCTTTGAAACTTGGCTCTTTCATCTGTAAAATTTAAATGGTAGCAATATTACCTACTTTGTGTGTGTGTGTGGTTGTCTGTGCATTAAGTTACAGTGCATATTTTGCACTTAACATGCTTGTATAGAAATAGCAAAAAAAACCTCCCTCTCTATTATAGAAATTATATATAACATATGTATATTATATATTAATTTATATAGATTACTTTATATATGTGTATATATGTAATCCGTCTTCCTGGACCTTCTCTATAAAGTCTGCTCTTAACCCTGCAGTCCCTGAAGCTAACTACTCTTTTTTTTCCACCAAAAGCAAACTTCTTCCTCACTCTCTTATCTCTGCTTCACCTCCTGCTCATTCCTAGCTCTTCATACCCTGAGTTCTGGCCCAACTAACTCAACCGAAGCATCTCTCTCTCTTACTCATCACCAATGACTTTCCCAATTTCGAACTCAAACCACTCTTTTCTCTTCCCCAACACTTAATGTTATTTCCATTATCTGATCAACTGTCAACCTTTGGTTCCTTTACAAAGGTTTATTTTTCAATTATAAGTGTGGCCTAGCTCATTGGAGGTTACTTGCTCAAGGTCACCCCTAGGCAGCCAGTTGTAGAGATGCACACAGAGGTGCCCGTCGCCAGAACGCAGGCTCTTAACCACTCCTTTGCACTGCTTCTCAAAAATGAACCACAGCCTGCACCATGGGGGCACTGTGCCCACAACCTAGATATTAACAATGCCATCTTCTGATGCAGGGTCAGCACACTATGACCCAGTGGCCAAATCCAGCCCACTGCCTATTCTTGTGAATAAAGTTTTACTGGAAGCCAGTCACACTCATTCATTTGCATTTTGTCTGTGGCTGCTTTCACACTATAATGGCAGAGATGAATCACTGTGATACACCGTGTGGTGTCTACAATGCCTAAAATTGTCACTATGTAGCCCTTTACAGAAAAGGTTTGCCAATCCCTGTTCTAACCGTTTTTTTAGGTTTATTGCTTGCAAAATGAGGAAATAATAACTAACTCGTCTATATGCAGTGAGAATTAAGGAAGCCAGTACATCTGGAATAATCTAATGATAGCAGGCATCCCAAAATGTGAACTGTTGTCCAATTCAAGACCTGTATTACAGCATTTAAAGAAAACAAAAAATCCCACTTCTTTCTTGGAAGTTTTTTGCTCCCCCTACACACACCCCACCTCCCAACACCACAGAGAGGAGGTAAATGTCCCCATTACAGTCAGCCTCAAAGCGTATTCCAGGAGTTCTTCATTTCTCTAAACAGCTAGCTCCACCATTCTCCCTCCAACCAGGCTTGGATCTGAAATCATCTTGTACGTCTACACTCTTCTCTTGCTCATTTGTGAAGTCCCATTTATTCAACCTACCTGATAGTTTACAATCCCTCCCTTATCCTACATTTCCACGGCCTAATCCTATTCCAGTCCCCATTACCTCTTACCATATCATCCCAGTGTAGCCTCACAATTCACTTCCCACATCAATATTTATAAGTGTCCTGCATACAAATGTCAGACAAGGCAAAATGTTCCTTAAACAAACAAAAATCTCTTTTTGAGACTATTGAATATGGTGTCGCCACCCATTGAGTCCTCAACTTTGCATTCAAGTGAATTACGCAATACGATTCCAATCCATACCTCCAAACTAACTTTATACTACATTTCTTGGGGATTTACTATGCATCACATACGACATTAAGCGCTGGAAATAGAAAGATGAATAACTCAGCTCAGTCCTCAGATGCTCAAAATCTAATAGGGAACACAGACATAAAGAAAAAAAGAAATACCCCATACAAAATGAAGTGTTTCAAGAAAGGTCTGAACATTAAGGTGTGAGCACAAAGAGAATGCAAGAGAGCTAATTCCGCCACAGGGGACAGAGAGGATAAGGGTTGGAAGCGATTCACTATCCTCAAAGAGGAGAGGGATTAAAGAAGCAAGAGTGGGGAGGGAAAAAGACAAGATATAAGACATAGGATCCCTACCATTTCTCAACCTTTTTTCTCCAAAGCAGTGGTTTTAAACCAGAGGCATTCCCCACCCCGGGGGCAGGGGCTGGGGGACATTTGGCAACGTCTGAAAACATTTTTGACTGTCACAATTGGGGAGAGGGGTGCTACTGGCACGTAGTGGGTGGGAAAAACATGCTTTTCAAGGTTCTACAACACACAGGCTAGCCCCCCAACAACAAAGAGCTATCCAGCCCAAAATGGCGACACACTGCTGAGGTTGAGCAGCCCTGGTCTAGAGCCACAAAGAACAGGAGCAAAGGAGAGGGTACAGTTGCCATAATTACAGGATGTGATGGAATATGGACAATACAGAAGTGGCCAGGAAGGAGAATGAGTGATGCCTGGTAACCTTGCTCACCAAAACCAAAGGGGGGAAAGCAAAACTGAACAGAGGGCAAAAGTTCTTACTAAATGCGCCACATGTCATACTGATGAACAAAGACAGATCTGAGTGTCAAGACCACCAACTGTGAGGGAATGGAGACATGGGCAAAGTGGCTGAAACAGGAGCTAGGAATACTTTCTGCTAAACACCATCCAATTCAATGCGCATCTATTGCACAGCTGCTATTAGATGTCATGGGAAAAACACAGAGGTAAGTAAGTCATGACCCCTGCCTGCAGGAAGACTGGATTTCAGCAGCGAGAATTAGGTAAGTACGTAAGTTATTACAATAAAAGGGGAAAAAAGATACATGATCTACTACACATGACTACAAAATGTGAAATACACAAGAGAAATACACAGGGGTTCGAATACGCACATCTTACATATTCAATACAGTAATAAAGGGTAATCCTACTTAATATCCTCTTGATCTTCTAGTGAAAGGAAGAAAAAAATTATAGGACAGTAAATGCTCCATCTTTGTTTGCAAAGTTGTATATATCTGGCATAAAAACACATAATTAGCAATATAAAATATTTGTGACTTCCAAACAGCGCAATGACTAACACTATCCCGATAAGGACAAAGCGGGGTCCTTCTACAGAGTATTTCCATAGAGACTGTACTTCCTATTGAGAGACCCATGAAAGAAATTAGTTCCAACATCCTAGAGTACGTCCTGCACTGAGAGGCTCTTAGTTGCTTTTTTTTTTAAAAACTTTGGGTGGGTTTTATTTCTCCTGAGGTTAGAAAACCATCCAGAGGACAGCTCTTTAAAAATTCCCCTCAGAAGGAGCCTCAAATTCAGCATGAGAAAATACTTACAGAAATCCCTAATGGTCCAGCCAGCATACATTTTTCATAAAGTGATTATCCTCCTGCAGCCTCAGCGCCCTAAGCCTCCCCACTCCTTCTATAATTGTTTTCCTTGTAGGCCAGGCAACAATTACCACTGCTACAAGACTGAGGACATTCACAAGCAGTATATTTTACAATACATAAGTGTAGTGGCTCTGATATCTGGTGCTTTTATCACTAATTGCACTATAAAATGCGCTATTAACAACAGGGACAAACAAGATTGTAAAAATCACATAATGGACCGTGACCACTTGCAAAAGCCATTCATAAATGTTACCATACCACTTGCTTTTCTTTAATTTTCCAGTTATATAATCATTTTCCCAAATTTTTACTTCTTGGGGATACCAACAAAAAAAGAATATACATGTATATGGAAATTACACAGCATACATACATGCTTGCCCTTGAATATATTGTTTTAGAAATTCGCTCAAAAATAAAATTATATAGAACGTGAGGCAATGTGTTATAAACAATCAATTCCTAGGGACAGTTATGTGATCTTGAAAATAATTATAGGCACGGTGAATGCATTTAAGTTGTGATTTCTATTCGAACTTTAGAGCACAGGACTGAAAGCATGAAAGCAGTGCAGAAGGATTTCACAATCCTAATCTATGAAACATACAGTACAACAGAGCCAATAAAACATTTATATCCCTGGAAAAGACAGAATGATCAAATACTGCTGCCAATTACTAGAGGACATGGTCTTTCTTTGTCATTAGCACTCACAAATTTATGCACAAATGTTTGTAGATGGGTGTTTCAACCTCTTCGCTATTTATTCATAAGTTCAATCATTTAAAAAATAGTAATCAGAAATAAGAGAGAATGAAAATAAAAGTATTTGTGTTACCCGTTAATAATTTTAATAAATATTTAGATGGAACTAGAAATTTTAAGAAGTGACTCAGATGTGCCACTGGGATTGTCTTTCTGTTTCATTTATCTGTTACTAGAGACAAACCGGTTCTAATAACACCACAGAAAACAAATACCACAAGCCAAATAGTGGCTAGCCCCTACAAAACTAAGGACAAGTAACCAATGACAGAATCGGGATTATGTGTTCTTCTTTTAATAGGATAATCTTTTTAACTGAAGAAGTAACTGATGCCTTGATTTTAAGTGTCAGTAAGGGACGTGTGACTGAACTTGGGTCTCAAAGAAAAACTCCAGTATTTGTACAACTCCATGATCCCGTGTCAAATATCTTCTTCAATCCTTATAATGGCCTAACTTAATTAAAATCAGAACCTACTTTTAAAACAAGAGATAAGCCACAATTACAAACATCTTAGTTGTGTACCTAAATTATTATGTTTTCTCCTGGAGATATTAGCTAGTGCTCAATCTTTCAATAGGAAGACTGTCAGAAAATCAAAAAGGCACATGACATATAAAACACCTGCTCTAATTTCAGAAACTGAAGCCACTTCCTGCGGTAGGCATCATGTTAAAATATTTTTAACGGTAAGAATAATTTACTTTTTCAAAATGCCAAATACTTGAAATTGCTCTAAAACTATGTTGGCTACACCTAAATAAAAATCAGCTTACTTTTCACCAGTGTCATCTCTCTAAGGCATGATTCTCTAAGGCAATGCCAAAGCTTTGTGATTAAATGGAGTAAAATGGGGACTACACACATGAGGCTACATAGAAAACTTACTTTGTCAGATGCCTCAGAAGCCAAGAGGTTAGTTGCAAGTGTCTGTAGCTTATGATGCGCCATGTTTTTCAGAGCAGCAAGACTACGCCTGGTCATGGCCTGCTTCAGATTGACAGCTGGGTGGCTGAGGGAATCCACCGCAGCTGGAACTGCTTCATCGCAAGCATTCAGGATCTCCACGGCCGTTATCCCCATCACACAGCGATCCAGTGCACCTGGAAGACACAGAGTCACAAGTACAACACACACTAAGAGGTTTTAAGTCGTTTTTTAAGTAAGGAAAATGCAGGGACATTTTTTATGTAGAAATGTTTTAACAGTGCCTCCCAGAAACATGTGCTTGTACTTCCTTCCTCTAATGATCCTCCACGGAGCATTACCTTCATCATTTCCTCTTCTGTAAGTCACCTACAGAGCTTCCCAACAAAGTCAAGAGCCAAGAATTTAATGCAGCAGTTCTCAACCTGTGGGTCGCGACCCATTTGGGGGTCAAATGACCCTTTCACAGGGGTCGCCTAAGACCATCAGAAAACAAAAAGATATTTACATTACGACTCACAACAGTAGCAAAATTACAGTTATAGAGTAGCAACGAAAATAACTTTATGGTTGGGCGTCACCACAACATGAGGAACTGTATTAAGGGGTCGCGGCATTAGGAAGGTTGAGAACCGCTGATTTAATGACTTTGCCTCCACTCAGGCTTTTCCACTTCCTTTCTACTCTCAAGGATGTTACTACATATCATTTTACTCTATTACAAACACCAATTTCCATGATTTCAAGTCCTGTAAGTTGTGTATCAATCTCAAACAAACAAAATAATAAATTTTGCTATTTTTCCAGTTTTTTCTACTTGAATAACTCCTGAAGCTTTTCTTTCTCTAGGAAACGTCCACAAAACAGGGGAAAAAACTGTAACTTCTCATTCTATCTGCAAGTTTCTTGACTCTTATTTTTAACACCCAATCAAATGTCTTCCTATGTATTTGATTGCTACAGCAACTTGTAGCCCCTACAAAGCCTCTTTGTTTGGCCGTGTGTTCTATTTCTTTCCATCTGTGCATTTCTTGTTTAAGGGTGCTATACTTCTCCTTACTATAAAGCAGAAAGCCTTACTGTATGTTTTGTTTTGTACAGTACCTAGTATCACATCAGGCAGACAAGGGTCTCATTGTGAGAATCTGTATATAATTTTTTGAAGATTATAATAATGATAATGGAGCTTATTTTTATTCACCAGGCATTCTTCCAGAGTCATTTTAAAAGAGGACAAGTCAATTGTGAAAAATAACCATAGAGAACACCAGAAACTTAAACGTCAACAAAACACAAAAATTTTACTGTGTTTCTGAACTAGTGCCCAAACATCCAAACACATATTTTCTTCCCAATGTTGAATGGTTATACACATACCATGAAAGTTTGCCCCTCGTTCCTTAAAGACTTTAACTCCTGACTCACTGTCCTCATTCCAACAGAACTCCTGGAAAGACTCTTGGTGATTTCAGTATTAACATAAATCAGTGTTTTACTAATCAATTCATTGAGTGTTGACCAATATATTTTGGAAGGCAAAGCCAAAGAAGGAACTGTTACCTGGAACTTTCTCTGTATGGGTGAAAAAGAGAGTGTATATACTCTAATGCAGCGGTTCTCAACCTTTCACAGGGGTCACCTGAGACCATCGGAAAACACATATTTTCAATGGTCTTAGGAACCGAGACACAGCTCCTCTATTGGTCTCCAGGCCCACATGCAGATACACCCACATACGAGTACCCGGCGACCCCTGTGAAAGGGTCGTTCGACCCCCAAAGGGGTCGTGACCCACAGGTTGAGAACCGCTGCTCTAATGGGATTTAAAAGTTCAAAAGGTTTGAAAATCACCGGCACATATGATTTTGCCATACAGCCTGATCTCTTGGTCCTTTGAGCTCTTCTACTCCATAAATTATGTCCTTCCCTTGATCACAGCCAATGGTCACAGTCTAATCTTATTACCAATGACTGAAATCCCAACATGATCCTAATTTCAAATATTTCGCTCATTCTTTATTTCACTCCTTCCAACTCCAATAATTCATTGTTCAGTGCTGACTCCAACCAGTCATCAGCCTGTCACCCTGGCACTGTCTCTCACCTACCCCATGTCCTCATGTCCCTCCCTCCTAAATTAAAATTCCACTGTCCATCCTTATACCCACAACTTTGTCCTCATCTCACTTCCTTGAACTGTCCAAGCAAACTCTAACCCTGGTTGAATACAACCTTCCACCGGCTCCGACCTGCACCACGAAGACGGACATGAGGGACAAACATGCTGACAGAGCCACTGGAAAGTCATGGCCATTGATCTCAAGTGGGACCTCAGTAGTGACCACACTTCCACAGACCTTCCGCCTTCCTATCCTCCTGGTTAATTACTCCATACCTTTTCTTTCTTCCAATCTCCAACACTCCTTTTCCTGCCCTTACCTGGGTGAAAAGTTTTGTTTCCTATTTCACCTAGAAAGAAGCAATTAGAAAAGAAGTTCCACCAGCTCCCACCACCATATTTCCACTACATTACCCTTTAATTATGAATGAACTATCCAGGCTCCTACCTAATATACTTGTAGCTTAAATCCCATCCCTCCTTGTCTGTCTGAGGACATCATTTCAGCAATTCTCCCCTTTCTCTTCATCAGTTTTCCCTACCTACTAGATCACTCCCATCAACATACAACCATTCCCATCAGCACACAGACACGCAATTATTTCACCTGTTAAGAAAACACAACACAGTTGACACAATCTCTCTCTAGCCGGTACCCCATTTTTTATAAATATCCTCCAAAGAGTTGCCTATGTCTGCTATCTCCAAATTTTTCTCCTCCCATTTTGCTTTGAACTTACTCAAATCAGATTTCATCCCAAATGTGCACAAAATCTACCCTCCCCATGTTGTTAAATCTAATAATTCTCTGTCCGCATTTTACTATCAGCAGCACTTGATCTTCCTCTCTACTCCTCGAAACACTTTTTTTCACTTGGCTTTCTTCATGTTCTTCTTTTCCTTGGCAGTTCTATCTTGGTCTCCTTTGCTGCTTTCTATACATCACAGAAATACATCTGAACCGTAAAGTGCCCCAATCATTATCTACCTGCATTCTGGTGATACATCCAGGGTCATGACTTTATAGCTTCTTTATGTGTCATATCTTCTATATGCTAAGAATTCCCAAAATTCACATCACCCACCCTGACTCCCCACCTTGCACTCCAAACTCATATAAACAATTTAATAATCAACTTCTCTACTTGAATGTCTAATATTCAACTCAATATATCAAAATTGAATTCTTGATCTTCCCATAATCTATTCTTCCCACTGTTTTCTCAGTTCTCATTCTCCAAAAATGAATTCCATCCTTCAACTTGCTCATGATTAAAATCTTGGGAGTCATCTCTGACCTATCACATTCTCTTATGCCCCTCATCCAACTAGCAAATCCTGTTGGCTGTACCTTCAGAATATACCCAGAATTCAATCACCTCTCACTAGCTCCACTGCTGCTACTCTGGTCTAGTCACCCACCATCCTTTATTGCCTAGAGGCAATAACATACAAGCTAATCTCCACTGTTGAACCACCTTCAGGTTATTCTCAGTCCAGCAGCCAGGGCGGTCTTATTTAAACTTAAAGCCCTTCCATGCATTTCTGTATCATTCAGAGTAAAAGCCAAAGGCTTACAAGACCTTCCAGGATCGGGCCTCCATTTACATTTCTGACTTTACATCCTATCACTCGCTCCTGGGTTACTCACTCCAGCCCACTAGTCTTACTGATGACCTCAGACATGAATTGCACGCTGCAACCTGAGGATCAAGTGTTCATTCTGCCCAGAAGTCATCCTCCTCGATAATGTGGGTTTCATCACCTCCTTCAACACCGCCACTCATTCCTTTACCCTAATGTTACCTTCTCCATGAGTTGGTCCCTAGCTATCTTATCAAATATTTCAACATCCCCTCCTTCAGTACCATTCATTAGCATCCTTTTCTGCTTTATTTTACCCATAGCACTGATCACAATTTATATATATTAACAATATGTTATATATATTACATTACATATAATATATATTATATATATAAATTATATATTACATATAAACATAAATATATATACATATTTAAAGACTTTGTTGTTTTTGACCTGCCTCTCCCCACCCAGAACGTAAGAGCTCGAGAGTTTTAGGTGCTTTGTGCCCTGCTGTATCCCTGGCACACTGGACAATGCACATAGGAGGCCTCAGTAACTACCTGTGGATTAAATGGAGACCGAGTTAACAGCTTTAAAATGCAAAGTTCTAACAAATCTATAAGAAAAAAACCCAACAGATAATGTTCAAAGGATATGAAAAATTAAGAAATACAAATGGGTAGTAATCATATGAAAAGACATCAACCTCACTATAAAGAAACCCAAATTGAAGCAACAATGAAATATCATTTGTGTCTTACCGTGACAGATAGTCAGCATCATTTAGGGTATGAGGAAACTGGTAAAATATTTTTAGTAGGAGTAAAAATTAGCAACTCTTTTCTTGACAAATTCTATTAAATTTAAAATTCATGTTTTCTTTAACACAGCAATTCTCATTCTAAGATTTATGGTTAAATAAACACACCATATACAAATATAAATTTACATATATACTATCAGTAAATACATATATATATATATATATATATATCAGTAACTATATGTAAAAATGTCTGTGTATGTGCCTATAGAGATGCATAGATATACACATATTTACTGATTGTCTTATTTGTAAATTTTAAAATTTGAAAAAAAAAGTAAATGTATATCATTAGTAGACAGGTTCAATGAATCCCAATATATCCACTAAAAGGAATACTGTGAAGTTGTTATAAAAACAACAACAAAATGAAGCTCAGTGTGATGTTTAATTTTATGTATCAACGTGGCTGGGCCACAGTGCCTAGATATTTGGTCAAACATTATTCTGAATGTTTCTGTGAAGGTATTTTAGATGAGACTGTACTTAAATTGATGACCTTAGAGTAAAGCAGATTGCCCTCCATAATGTGGATGGGCCTCAACCAATGAGTTGAAGGGCTGAATAGAACAAAAGACTAACCTCCCCCAAGTAAGATGCAGAATGAAAACTATATAAAATTAAACACAGAGAGAAATAATTAT